ATATTATATTATATTATATTATATTATATTATATTATATTATATTATATTATATTATATTATACATTATTATATTTGCTGAGGTGTCTATACACCTCAAGCTTCAAACTCACCCGCAACCACGCGCCAGACGGGCAGGGCCTCAGCATTTGTACCTGCAGCAAAACATACACTCCAATATTCTTTAATCCTGTTGACTGCTGCTGCTGCTGCTGCTGCTCTTGCTATTGCTACTGCTGCTGTTCCTACTCCCGACGCTGCCAGTATTGCTGTTGCAATTACTACTGCTTCTGCTGCTGCTGTTGCTGCTACTGCTGCTACTAGTGCTGCTATTCCCCCTGCTACTCCTCTTGCTGCTCTTGCTGTTGCTGCTGTTGCTGCTGCTGTTGCTGCTTCTCTTGCTGCTGCTCGTGCTTCTCTGGCAGCTCCTACTCCTGCTCGTGCTGCTGCTGCTACTGCTGCTGCTGTTGCTGCTGTTGCTGTTGCTGCTGCTGCTGTTGAATTAAAAGCAGTACCCAGACTCTCCCGTAGTCAATTCCTTTTTGCTGCACTCCGCACGCCCACTGCCGCCAGACGGCTCCATCAGGCAGACAGCCGCTCACGCGGAGATCGTAGGCCTTAGAACAACAAAATAATATAAATTAATAAAATAAATAAAATGAAATAATGCAATATAATATAATATAATATAATATAATATAATATAATATAATATAATATAATATAATATAATAATAAACAGATTAAAATGAGGGGAATAATCCAAAGAGAGGTAATAACAACAATACATAAAAATATATAAGATATATAATATATATTATATATAACATATAATATATATTATATAATTTATAGTGTATACACACAAACCAACTCGCGGCATAAACCCAACACTTTCGTCTTCAATCACAAAAACAAACAAACAGGAAATACTACACAATCAAATTGCTGCTGTTTAATGCAGCAGGAGGCAGTGGCAGCAGCAGCAAACTGCTGCTGCTGCTGCTGCAAACTGCTGCTGCACCAAGTCTTGCCGTAGCAGCAACAGCAACTGTTGCAACAAAATGAAGCAGCAGTTGCTGCACCGCCACCTGCAGCAGCAAGTGAAGCAGTAGCAGCAGCAAGCGCAGCAGGACCAGCAGCAAGCGAAGCACGAGCAGCAGCAAGAGCAGCAGCAGGCGCAGCAGCAGCAGCAGTATGCTCAGCGGCGGCAGCAGCAAACGCAGCAGGAGTAGCAGCAAGCGCAGCGCCAACAGCACAGAGCGCTGCATCAGTAGCAGCAGCAACAGCAGCAAACACACCAGCAGCAACAAGCACAGCAGCAGCAGCAGCAACAAGCACAGCAGCAGCAGCAGCAGCAAGAACTGACAGATAAGATTTTGCTGCTTGGCTTCCGCAATGTGTGTGCAAAGTCGCCGTCGTTAGTTAGAAGTACGAGGCCCTCTGCATGCAGCGGCAGTCGATTCTGTGTTGCAGCGCAGCAGCAGCAGCAGCAGCAGCAAACAGCAAAACAGCAGAAATAGTAAAGATGTCTTCAATACTTGAATGTGTCTATACACCCAACAGAGGCAGAGGAGACAATCGCAAAAGACTCACAACAGGTATCAAATGCCCTGGTATATGCGGAAACGCGTCGCTGCTGCTGCTGCTGCCGCTGCTGCCGCTGCTGCTGCTGTTGCTGCTGCTGCTGCCTCTGCTGCTGGGGATTTGGGAATATTGCTCTTCTGGTGTCTGTGCAGCATCTCTCGAGGTGGCATTTGCTGCTGTTCTTTTTCTGCTGTTTTCAGCGTCTTGTTGCTTAGTTGAAGAAATGCCTTTGCTATTAAAAGCACTTGTCTTCGTTTGTTTAACAATATCATCAAGACACATCTCCTCTAAACACGGCTGCTGCAGCAGCAGCGTCTTCAATGTGGGGCCCGAAGCATTTAAGGTGTACGTACACCCCACACCTGGAGGCTTTAACATACCAAAGAGAAAAGGCTTCGCTGCAGCAGCTGGCAGCACTCTTCCTGCAGCAGCAAGGAACGAGATAAGCAAAATCAATAAAATAAAATAAACAGCAAAACAAAACAAACAGAAGCATACTAAATTAAAACAAAATAAAATAAAAACAAAACAAAATTAAATTACATTAAAAGGAAACAAAACTAAATAATCAACAAACCAAAAGAGCACAACGCAAACAAAACAAAAGAAAACAAAAAGAAATAAAACAAAAGAAGAAATAAAACAAAAGGACATGATGCAGAGTTAAATGAAACATATTCAAATAAAGAAGAACAACAGACCCATCAGAGAGACTTCCGCCTCATCACATATTTCTACGTCGCGTGTTATTGTGCGGCCGTCGACCTAAGGCAAAAACAAACAGCAAATTATTTAAATATATTATTTTATGTTTTTCTTCTTCTGCAAGAAATTAATTATTAATTGTCTCTGCCATTAGGCATTTTCATTACAAGGAGGAGAAAACAGTAAAAAGAAAATACAAAACAACGATGGGGATTGATGAATACCATAAGCAGAATTATTCTTGTTAATAATAATACACTTCTTATAAGTTGCTCTTTTCTTCGTTTTGTTTTTTTTTATTTTGCTTTGTTTATCCTCACCTTCACATCTCCACGCTCAATCGCCGCCAACGCCTCCCTTCGTGAGAGACAGCCGCTAAGGGCAATGCGGCGCGCCAGCCACTCCAACCGTCTGCATGCAGACAAGACAAATATAAGTGCTGTTGCTTACAACGGGATGAAAAAGAGCAAGAAAGCAGCAACCACGCGGCATACAGACACTGCAAGCAAAGTCTTCTTACGTTCGGCGGAGCTGCAGAGTCCGCGCAATCGCCATTTTAGCCTCTGATCGATGAAGGGCATCTGGAGAAGCACAAAAAGAGAAAGGAAAAAGAAGAAGAAGGAGAAGTGCACTGGGAAGCCAGACAGCAGCGGTACTCCCGAGAGAGAGGAAATCGCGGGTTGAGGGGTTTCTTCTCCAAAAAATGAAGAAACAAGGAAAACGCGATTCCAAATGGTGAAGTTACTAAGAGAAAAAGACAAATTTTTCAAAAGCCAAGGCAGTAAAGATGCAGAAAGTACAGCCGACGCCGCTCGCGAACCGCCGCCGCCTCGGCCGACGAAGAGGAAAAGGTTGAGCAGGGGTAAAGGGATTGCGTTTGCGGGATATTCAGTGATAAATAAACAAGATAAACAGTGTTATTGTAGATATTTCATTATTTTAAATTAGAAACACTCACGAAGTTTTGTTTCGCAGGCAAATTGGCTGGCAGAGTGGGGCCGCAGCCCCGTGGAAATTCATATTCAAGTCTGTAGCATTTTGAGGGAAAGCAGCATGAAATTCAGTGAGATGGTTCAGGACTAGTTTATTAACTGCTTATTTATGACATTAGTCAGACACTTGCTGCAAATGGATGGGAAATTCAACTTCTTTCTTCCTCATAGTGACAGTAATCTATGAGGCACTCTTATCAACTGAACCGCATTTCTCCTAGCTGTGCATACACCTCAGTGTAGGGCGTGCCTCCCGAGAGGCGCAGCTTTTGGCGGCTTATTTGCATTGACTTTTGCCGCTTTTCGTGGAAATCGACGCGGTTATTCGTGGAATTCCCTTTCGGCCTCTCCTGGCAAAGCGAGAAGATGGGGGGGGCCTCAGAAGACGCCATTCGCGACGCTCTTCACGAAATAACGAAGGGAAAGCTGGACCCAACAACAGAAGAATACCTCGTTGGTACTTCACTTTGCACGAAAATACAAAGAAAAACCAATGTTTCACATTGACTGGCCTGCCGCACGCTAGCGACTCTTTCCGCTATAGCGAGCCAATTAATGCCGATTTCCACTCTTCTTTTCTGCTTTTTCGCCTCATTTCCTTGTCTTTTAAGCGAATTTCTGTCTGCCGGTATCTCGCAGGCATGCTGCAGGAAGAGGCCCCCAAAACCGCAGAGGAAGCACACGAACTGATTGGCGCATTCATCCTCGATGCGGGAGTCGCTGCAGATGACTCGCAGTCTGTGGTAGGATTCATAGTTTAGAGTTTAGGGTTTAGGGTTGGGGGTTTAGGGTTTGTATGCCTGGAAGCTGCCGGCGTTCAGCCGGCATGCAGCCATTCGCACACTTCCAACTGCGGCTGCAGCAGCAGCAAAAGCAGCAGCAGCAGCAGCAGAAGTATGAATACCTGCAGCAGCAACCTCAATATTAGGAGCAGCAGCGATCGCAACAGCAGTGCCTGCAGCAGCACCGAGACTTTCAGCAGCAGCCACAGGAACAGCAGCAGCCTCAGCAGCAGCAGCATGTAGCAGGAGCAGAAGCATTTATATTTCTTTAAATAATATTCCCTAGGTGTTTTAAAATATTAGTTCGGAGGTGTAAATAGAAGCAAATGCAGGAGTTTGTCTTCAGGCAATTTGCAGCCAACTTGTAAACAAATTGCGCGAAGGGCGGAGCGATGCAGCAGAAGAAGACCAACAGACGGAGGCCTTTAAAGCAGGTGATTTGTTTATGTATTTGTTTACTTGTATATATTCTTTTATTTGCTTATTTCTTTGTTTGTTTGCTTCAATTTGTTTATCAGGTTGTTTAAGGTGACTTGTCTGTCTTTTTAATTGCTTGCAAACGCCTCATTTACTCATTTGTTCATTATGTGCATTTGCTTGTAAGCAGGTAATGTATTTGTTTGTTTGCTTGCTTATTTGATTTATTTGTTTATTTATTTGTTTTATTTATTTGTTTATTTGTTGACGAATTACTTTCTCTATTTTTTCATTCTCATAATCTTTTTTTTTCCTCTGTATTTGTTTGTTCGCTTCCTTACGAATTATCCATTTTTTTTATTTATCTTATATATATATATATATATATTTATTTATTTATTTCTGGTGTCTTTGTTTCTTGCAGCAGCAGAGCCGAGGGCCCCGGTGCGGCTGCAAGATTTGTTGCAGAAGAGAACAGAAGGTGAATATACACCTGAAATCTAGCTGTTTGTTTTTTATTCTTTTTTATATTTGTTTTCTTTTTAAGAAGCATTCTCTTTTAACGATGGGTGTCTTTGTTTATTTCCGTTTGTCTTAGTCTTTGTCTTCAACAACAACAATTATTTTTTTTTCTGTTGTTTGCATCGCTGGACCTTCATTCCCTTCCCTCTCTGCTTTTTCTTCTTCTGTTTTGTTTAGCAGTGATGTTGCTGGTGCTTTTTGCTGCTGCTGCTGTTGCTGCTGCTCTTGCTTCTCTTTGCTGCTCTGCTTATATTTTTCTGTTGCTGCTGATTTTGCTGCTGTTTCTCCTCCGCTGGTTTTTACTGCTGCTTCTGCTGCTGTTTGTTGTTGCTGCTTCTGTTTGCGGCTGCTGCTGCTACTATTTGTTGCTGTTCCACTGCTGTTTACTGCTGCTGCTGCTGTTTGTTGCTTCTGCTGCTGCTGCTGCTGCTGCACGTCTCAGGTGACTTCAGCGATCCGTATTTAGGCATTCAGCAAGACGCAGCGATGGTTAATTATAATGCGCCGGTATTTGAAGGGGATTCTGCTGCAGCAGATGCAGCAAAGCAGCAGCAACTTCAGCAGCAGCGGAAGCAACAGCAGGTTGGTTGGCGCCTCTGTCTCTTTCTTTCGTTTCTTCTGTCTCTTCTCCTTTGTTCTCTTCTTGTATACCGCTCATACCAACGTTTATCTTTCTGTTTTATTTTAGTTTGAAGGTTTTTTAATAATATTCTGTATTTGTTGTGTTTTCCTTTGCGTTGTTTCTTTTTATTTTGTTTGTTTGCTTTGTTCGGTTGTTTGCTCGTGTAGCAATTTCTTTATCTGTTTATTTTCCTTCTGTCTTTGTTTTCTGTGGATATATATTTTTATTTTAGTTTAGTTTATTTTATTCTGTTTTGTTTTGTTTTTTTATTTTTGTTGCTCCCTTCTTTGATTTCTCTCAGTGGTTGGGGTGTATGTGTGCTTGCCTGTCTCTGTTTCCTCTATATGTTTACTTTTTTTGTGTGCTATTTTTCTTCTCCTCCATTTTCGTCTTCTTCTTTATCTTTAGGGTGTATAGGTTTTATTATTTTTTGCTTAATCTCGTCCTTTGAGGTGTATGTTCTTCTTCTGCGGTGTATGTACAGCGCGAGAAGCAGCTGCGACTGCTGCAAGAATGGGAGAAAAATAAACCGCCGCTGCCGCCTCCTCAGAAGCGGCACGGAGATGTTCAACTCAAACGTAGCGGTAAGCCCCATGCATGCATGCATGCATGCATGCGTGCATCTGCATGCACTTGCATGCATATATTATGCACTGGTAATCAGTTGTTTTGTTGCTGCAACAGTAGCATCTACATCTACATAAAGCCCTAATTATTCAAAACCCTAAACCTTCACCCCAAACCCTTTTCTTTAGTCGTAACCTTACCCATATATATATATATATATGTTGAACTCAAGAAGGCAGTATAATAATGCGGTTTGCGGTGTATGTACATATAAACTTCGTACAGCATTGAGATGTGTGGTGTACCTACACCGCGTTTCCCGCTGCAGTTTGTGGTGTATGTACACCTGGGCTTTGGCGTGCAGCTGAGGGAATTTTAGTAGATTCATTTTCTATATCGGTGGCGGGCCGGCAGTTGTTGATAGACACATCATTGAAGTTAATGAAGGGGAGAAGATATGGGTTGATAGGGCGGTAAGAAGAAGAATAATATTAAAGACAGCATTTAGCTTATTTTTGCGCTTCTTTCTTTATAATTGTCGACATTAATTCTGCATTTTTTCAGTACTATTTGCCTTAATTCAGCAGCTGTTTCTCTAGCAGTCGGCTGTATATAACCGCTTTATTATTATTATTATTATTATTATTTGTTTATATTGGCTTTTCATTTACTTTATTTAATTACTTTATTTAATCTTTTTGCAGAAACGGCATTGGAAAGAGTACTTTTCTGCATGCGTTGGCCCGCCACGATATTCTCGGCGTTGACCCCGACATCACCATCACTTGCGTAGAACAAGGTAAACATATATATATATATATATATATTTACATATATATACTTAATTATATGTATATATATATGTATATAAATAAAAAATTATAAGTAAATAAATGTACATATATATGTACATGTATTATGCGTGTGTATTTGTTGATATCTATTTTTGTCTATTTCAGCTGCTTGTTGTTTGCTTTGTTGTTTAAATTTTTCGTAGGTTGTGTGCAATTGTGATACTACACTCAAATAAAGAAAGCCTCTTCGGTTGTTCATATTGTTTATTTAATTGGCTTTGCTGCTTCTTCTTCTGCTGCATGTTTGATGTTTCGCTGCAGAGGCAGCGAAACATCAAACATGCTTCAAGAGATTTTCTTTTATATCCACTGAGGCGCTATTACCTTTGTTGCTGTCTTTCTTTATTTTTATTTAATTCTTTTGCATTTGACTTCGAAATAATCTTCTCCATCTTTGCTTTATTTCTACTCGTTTATTGTTTGCTGGCTGGCCTCCACCGGCATTTGTATGTTTGCAGTTGCTGTTGACTGTATGCAGGCTTGGTGTGTTTGTTGTTGTTACTGTGTATCTGCCTTTCTCTTTTTCTTTGTCTTCATTTTTATTTTTATCTGTCTCTGTCTGTATCTGTCTGTGCCTGTCTTTGTGTTTGTCCATATATATATATATATATATATATATATATTTATATTTATATATAACTCTGTGCGTATGTGTATGCATATAGCTTTGTTTTACTTATCTCTCTGTCTTCTGCATGCATTCGTATTTGTATTATGTTGTTTTTATCTGTCTTTATCTTAATCTGTCTTTAATAATTTGTTGTTTATTTCTTTTTATTTATTTCTTTATCAGAATATCGCTTTGGGAATGAAACGGTTTTAGAGGCGGTGTTGGCTGTTGATGAAGAGCGAAAAAAACTTTTAGAAGAATCTGAACTCCTCCAACAACAGGGACAGGCAGTAAGCATCAATATATACCAGTTCATGCATGCATGCATCTTTGTAGGGTTGCATGCATGCATGCATGTTTGTATGCATGCATGCATCTTTGTAGGGTTGCATGCATGCATGCATGTTTGTATGCATGCATGCATGCATGCATGTTTGTATGCATGAGTGCATGCATGTTTGTTTACATGTTTGCTTGCATTTTTGCATGCATACATGAATTCATGCATTATTGTTGCATGCATGCATGCATGCACACCAGCATGCTCTGTCCTTTACATTAATTAAATCCAGTTTAGTTTTTAATATAATTACATTTAATTAATTTAATTTACTTTGTTTTGTTTTATTGCAGACGGCAGCAGCAGGGTTTCGCTTAGCTGCAGTCTTCGACCGATTGCAAGAAATCGGCGCAGCGGAGGCGGAGGCGACCGCTGCGACAATTTTAAACGGACTTGGGTTCGATACAGAAATGCAAGTGAGAATATATATATATAATATATATAATATATATTTATATTTATTTATTTATTTATTGACTTGTTTATATGTATATTTACTTCTATATTTATATATTTACATATGTGTTTATATATAATATATTATGGAGGAGATATATTTTAGAGTATGTATGTATATTATATATATATATATATATATATGCGTGTATTATTCATATATGTTTATATAGACCTATATTATATATATGCATCTTCTTTTTACATATTTATATGCATCTATATATAATATATTTTATAAAGCATACATATGTATATATATACATAGTACAGAGATATTGATATATATATATATATATATATTTATATATAAAGACCATATAAATATATATGTATATATTTAGATGCCCTATATATTATATGCATGCACTTGTGCATGAGACTAGAGAGACAATGAAAGTGTTTTTCTCTTGGCATCATTTTGCTTAATTTTATTTATTTATTTATTTATTTATTTATTTATTTATTTATTTATTTATTTATTTATTTATTTATTTGTGTGTGTGTGTGTGCAGCAAAGGAAAGTATCTGCTTTAAGCGGAGGTTGGATAATGCGCGTTTGTTTAGCTCGCGCTTTGTTTTCTGATGCAGATGTTCTACTTCTTGACGAACCTACAAACCATTTAGATTTAAAAGCAATCAATTGGCTGACAGCATATTTAAATGCAGATGCTAAGGCTCTTGGAGGAGAAAATGCATTAAAACTTGCAAAAGATAAAATCGTTATCGTTGTTAGCCACTCGCGCGACTTCCTTAATGATGTATGAAATATTCTTTACTTTTAGTTTTTCTTTTATTTATGCATTTATTTTATTTTATTTATGTTTCTGCTTGTATGGGTATTTGTTTATCTATCCGTTTATTTGTTTGTCTGTTTTTTTATTTACTTTTGTATTGTTTGTCTGTTTGTTTGTTTATATTTACTTATTTGTTTACGCTGTCTAGTTTTACTTACTTGTATTTATGTATTCATTTATTTACATCTATTTTTGGTTATTTGTTTGTCTATTTATTAATATTTGTTTGTATTTATTTATTTATTTAATTTATTTTGTTTGTTTTGTTTTTCACCGGCGCATTTTATTTATTCTTCTTTTTCCTCTTTTTTGTATTTCTTTGAATTATTTTTGAGTCATTTCTTTTGCAGTATATTCCTTTTAATAATTTTTGTGTTTTGCTTTCTGTTGCATGCTTGTTTAATTCTGTTTGAATTCTATTTCCCTTTATTACTCCTCTTTAATTCTGTTTCTCTTAATTCTTTTTGATGTGTATTGTTTTGTTTTATCTGCATTTGGCGTTGTTTTGTGCTGCATTTGTTGAATTCTTTTGTTGTATTTATCTCTTAATTGTTGCTGCTGAGTTGTATTTAGTTTAATTCTTTTTGAGTTTTGTTTCTTCTTATTCCTCCAGAGTCATCTTTCTCCGTTGTTCTTGTTGTATTTCTTTGGATGGTTAACGAGTTATATATATATATATATATATATATATATATATATCTATATATGCATATATACATATATATTTTATATATATTTATATATATATATATATACATAATGTATCTGTATCTTGTTCTTTCTTTCTTTTTCTGTATTTCTAATACCTTATGCTTCTGTTGCATTGCTTTTACTTTTTACTCTCTTTTTGATGCTTTCTTTGCATTAATTTTATTGTATATCTTTGCATTCCTTTCCTTTCGTTTTATTCTTTTTCTTAGGTTTGCACGGATGTAATTCACTTCACTAATCAAAAATTAAATTACTATCGGGGGGACTTCGATACATTCGAAAGCGTCAGAGCAGCGCAGCAGCTGCAGCAGCAAAGGCAGATTCTCTCAGTAGAGATGAAGCAGAAGCATATGAAAGCATTTATAGACAAGTTTAGATGCAATGCTAAGAGGTTTGTTGCTCCTGGATATTGACAGACAGTCCCTGTAGATTTCTTTCTCCTCTTCACTCAGTCAATATCTCTCTCTCTCTCTGCATATATATATATATATATATTTCATCTTTGTCTTCTGCTTTAATCCACCAACGCTATGTATATATATATATATATATGCAAACATATATATATATATATATATATATATATGTGTATCTACATACATATGTAAACTATATGCATGCATGAATATTTACATATTTAAAGGTATATATATACATATATATATGGTTATATTATTTTTATTATGAATGGATGTACTTGCATTGCAGAGGGCGACCCCCGCATTTATTGATGAAATTATAATTATTATGTGTTATTTTAAAAGCATTTCTTGCATTTGTTTTGAGTGTCTTTTGATTATCTTTTCGTGTTTTGTTTGTCAGAGCCTCTTTGGTTCAATCTCGTATAAAGGCACTATCAAGATTACCAATGTTAGAACAAGTAGCAGAAGATCCATCATTAAGGTTTAAACTAAAAGAACCTGAGCAGCTGTCTCCCCCTCTATTGCAGTTGATTGACGTTACATTTAAATATAAGAAGAGAAGCAGCAAAGAAACAGAAAGTAAAGAAGAAGAAGGAGAAGAAGAAAGCAATGCTAAGAATAACAATAATATCAATAATAATAATGGCAGTGAAGCAGGCAAACAAAACAATGCAAAACAAACAAAGACAGAAAGTACAGATAAGGGAGATCTTCTTATCGTTGAAGATTGCAATTTAAATATCGATATGGATTCTCGAATTGCAGTAAGTAGAACACAACTCAAAATACTTCCTTTTCTTCTTCTTTCTGTTGCTGCTGCTGCTCTGCTGCTCTTCTCTTTTCTTTGTTGCTGCTCTTCTTTTCTTATTCCCTGTTGTGTAGAAGAAGAGTAAGAGGAAGCAGCTAAGCATGAAAAGAAGAAAACCGAATGCAACATAACGATATACAGTAGTTCTTCTTTGATGTGTCCTCTTACTCTCTTTTTCTTTTTCTTTTTCTTCTTTTTCTTTTTCCTCCTTTTCTTCTTTTCCTTCTTAATATTATTATCATCGTGTGCATGTATGTCTGTCTGTATGAATGCAGATATGCGGCTTGAATGGAAGCGGCAAGAGTACATTATTGAAATTATTAATGGGTCATAATGAATGCACTAAGGGTCATATACACCGCAGCGGCAAACTGCGAATAGGGTATTTCACTCAGCAGCATATTGAACAGCTGGACCTGACCTTAAATGCAGTACAGAGCTTGCAAATCAGGTAAGATATTATATATAGTATATAATATATATATATATATGTATGTATATATATATATATATATATATTTCTGTTCCTTACCTCTGCATCTATTTTACTTTCCAGGTCTTTTTCCTTTCTTTTTTATTTTTGTGTGTATTTTCTTCTCTTTGCGTTTTACTGTCTTATTCTTTTTCTATTAAAATAAGTTTATATCTGTATTATTCTTTGACTATATTGCTGCAGATACCCGGAGGCAAATCTATCGGATGAAGCTGCACGTACATACTTAGGCCAATTTGGTATTAGTAATATGTTGGCGCTGGAGCCGCTTTATATTCTTTCAGGAGGTCAAAAAAGCAGAGTAGCGATCGCCCTCATTGCCTACAGCAATCCGCATATACTCGTAAGGCTAATAAAGCATATTATATATATATATATTTATCTATACACACACATATACATGTATATATGTAGTGTATATATATATATATATATATATAGGCAGCCACAGCAGCAGCAGCAGCAAGAGCATGAGCATGAGTAGCCGTTGAAGGTTAAATTGTCATTACGCTGTCTCTGCAACTTTTGCAGCTTCTCGACGAACCCACCAACCATTTGGACTTAGACGCCGTCCAGGTGCGTTCTTTCAGCGGCTATTTGCAGTGTATCGCTAGCTAGCTAGCTAGCTAGCTAACTGGATAGCTAGCTGGTTAACTAGCTGGCTAGCTAGCTATTTAACCGTCCAGATAGTTTTGGCCCTTGTGGCTAGTTAGCTGCGCGTGTGGCGGCTAGCTAGCTAGCCATCTAGCACCGTACCTAGCTAGCCAGCTAGCTAGGTGCGCAGCACTCGTCCCCATAGCAGCAGCTAGGTAGCCAGCGAGGTAGCTAATTAGCTAGTTAGCTAGCTAGCTAGGTAGCTAGCTAGGTAGTTAGTTAGCTAATTAGCTGGCTAGTTAGCTAGGTAGGTAGCTAGCTAGGTAGCTTGATAGGTAGCTAGCTAGCAATTTATTTCTGCTTGCATGAAGTATGCTGCATGTTAGTTTGCATTTGTTTGTTTTTTGCAGGCGCTAATAGTGGCGTTAAATGAATATGCGGGTGGGGTTGTTGTTGTGAGTCATGATAGTCATTTGCTTTCTTGTGTAGCAGATGAAATTTATACTCTTGATAAAAATACAAAAAGATTATTGAAGTTCAATGGAGATTTTGCTGAGTATAAGAAGCAGCTTCTCAAGAGCTTAAGACAAGCATAGCTCTTTAAAACAATAACAAGTGAAAACTTCTTTCTTTCCTTCTTTCTTCCCTTTATATTTATTAATTATATAACAATTCTATATTCTTTATGTACTGTACTTGTTCTCGTTCATGGTTGTTTGATGTATGAAGATATATATAAATATATATAGATTATGTTTATTTTTTAGACAGTATATATTATGTATATTGTATGTTTTATATTATTGCTTATTTATTTATTTGTTAGAGAGTATATATTATATATATTACATATTTTATGTATTAGTGGTATGTAGGCGGAGAAACACAGTCAAATGAAACGCACGCACGGTGTATATATACACACATATATATATATATATATATATATATATATATATATATATATATATATA